TTCACAGTATATATGTTAGTGGTATGGTTAAAAAAATAAAAAAAAAATCATTAAACAATGGGAAAAACTGTCGCGTCTTGCTTGAATATTATTGTAATACAAAATACTTATTTCAGTTTTCCTCTCAACTTTGCTCAAAACTGACACATATCTTGGTTGTGTCATTGTGTACACATTCCAGTTTTTTTATATTGTTATATTGCAGTGGGGTGTATTGTTATTATATCTAGGTGTTCTTTTTAGTAAACTACTGCAAATTGGATTGTTAACGTTTAATTACTACGGTGGTGTGATGTTTTAATTCAAATAATAATGTAATTTGGTTATTTTGATTATATGATAAATAGGCCTGATGGCTTTACGTGGGGGTTCATGACATATCACTTTTATTTTGAAGTCCATATTAGGTTTTGCTTGTAGTGTGAATTAATAAGACTTAATCGTTGGCATGTACTCAATTCCCTTATCTTACTCTTTTGAGATGTGGGTGGTCAAATATTGCTGTAATCGGGTACATGTATCTTACTTTACGCAAATAAAACTGTCGCAAATGCTATAGATTGGTTGTTAGTTTTCATTTCTTTTTGGTAACTGTCTGTTTGTAAGACTTAAAGGTGGTCGATACAGGATTTTTACATCAAATCTAATTTTCGTAGAGAGAAAATTATTTTCCCTTAACTAGCGACTCATTGTTTGACTTATCCCAGCACTGGGATCCAGTGCTTTGTACCACATCAAATAACTTATTAGTAGTAATAAACGAAGCATGCTTCACTTAGAATGTAATGTGTCTTCGTATTCTAGAAGGACTTATCCGCATCTGTTACTTATCATAGTGTGAGATTTTTGGTTTTAAGAGCAGATATCTGTAAGAATCAAAAATGGATGGCCGGGGAACAAAATGAAATTAGTAACTGTCCGAGGGGGGATCCATGTCGAATAACGTGTAATTGTCCCTTAATGCAAAAATGTTTTCACGCTGTTGCATAATGTGAAATTTCCATTACACTTAATAGTGTCGTAACACAATCAAAATGTCATATTATATATTCACAGTAACCTTCATTGTAGTTAAAACATGGATGGAAACATTAAAACACAGGCTTCTTTATATACACACAAAACATTATATACATGTTCAAATCTACTACAGAGCGAATTCTCAAAAATAAGCTCATAGGTCCTTCTGTGTCCTCTTAAAATCCCATTTCAACAGACATACAGAGTTGTATTTTTTAATCATCTTCTTCGAATTTTCCATTTATTCCGAGTTATAAAAAAAATGAAATCGCGTTTTATAAATTTTAATAATCTCATCAGTCATCTGAGTCATCATAAGTTCCTTTCCTGCAATTGATAAAAAAGAGCATTACAAAAACACGGGTTTGATTTAAAATCGTAAATCAATTATTAAATGCATCATTTGGAGCGCAACGTTTTACATAAATTATCAAACTGTTAAAGAGTGACAGGCTTAACAAATTACAATCATATCAATGCCCAGTCAACAACAAGTGTGCAGATGAAATGTGTTTGCCTTTTTTGTTTGGCACATCACAACTCGATGCATCATAATTTACATTTTCATATACTGAAGTAGCTAGCTCTCAAGCTGTGTGGCATTTATTCTGGCAGGAACCCAGCAAACACGTCATGTTCGGATCACGTGGCCAGCACGTTGCCACCACATTATAACGTCATAGCCACGTGATCCGACAGTGATGTGTTTGCTGGGAATAACATTCCAGACAGAGAGGTCGGAGTTTGCATATAAGTTGATTTGGTTTTGACATACATGTAGGTCCAGCAGACTGACAAATCAGACTCACCAGACCCTTAGCCAGCAATTTCAAAGGGGAGGGGGGTATTTTTCTGAAAACGTGGTCCTTTTATCGCGATATTAAAGAAAAGTGTCGAGTTTTATTGAAGGAAAACAAATGCGTTTATTTTTAAATAAACATTTAATTTGCGTAAAAATTTGAACACAACATTTCATAAGTTAAAAGAGCCATTATAATAATAATGACTACAATATAAAAAAATCAAATTTCAAGAAATCTAATTTTGACAGCGCATGAAATGATATCAAATATCACAGGGCGAATATAAAAAAAATCACTCACTAGTAGGTCCTACAAAAATCTATCTGCAACTGCCATCATATCATCTAAAAACAGAAAAAAATGTTATCAAAAGGAGCAAAAGAGAAGCACTGCCTCAATATTGTAAAATTAATTCAACATTGCAAAATACAAACTGGCACGATGTTAAAAGAAGATATATATCACTAATAAAAATTGATAAATCAAACCTGATATGTTTTCAGTAAAAAGATAATAATTCCAAAACATTTTCAAGACGTTTAACTCCTGGGTAACTTAATTCCTAAATGACAAAATGTTTTGTACTTCCTGATCTACAATAAATATCACATAAGAAAGAGAAATCACTGCATTTAAATGGATTACTCATTACAAGCGCAATGCTAAAACCTGAGTTTTGCCTTATCATTCAAGATGATGCAGCAATGCAGTATACACTGTAGCAATATATGCAGAGTAACTGAATACAACATGTATGCTGTGAAACACAGTGTAAAACAAAATAGTAAAATTCAACTGTCTCAGTAATGTACCTCATTGTAGATTCCCCCACACACTGACTTTGTTTTTGATGTTTCCTTACATCTACTGCAGGTGGCTCATTTTCTGCAGTATAAAACAATAAAACATTTTCTTTTATTATTTACTTCACAAATAAATTGTGCATGTCTATTTAAATAAACATAATTTTGCCTCGTGTTTTATCAACACATTTTGGAAGTAAGGAATTTTTTCTTCAGTGGCATCTACTGTTGTACTTTAATAAAAAATAACAAGGTACTGTTTCATTCAGAAAAAAAATCGGGTCCCTTAAGCGGCCTCCGATACCGACGCCAAAGTGGGCCAGACTCGGTTTTGTATCTGGAGTTGGTCAAACTTAAAAATGGATCTTTCAATAGTCTTTGCTATGCGCCTGCTTTGTCACTCTCTGGCCTCAGTTTCTAGCCACTGGTATCATTATGATCTCTTGTCTATTTTTAGTTATTGTAGAGGGCAGCACTGTACTACAGGCACACGTGTTTGCTTATCGCTAACTCGAGGCAGGTCATATCGATTATCTCCTTCTGAGGACATGGGGGGCATGCAAGGTCACACTATAGATATGAAGGCTTCATTCCGACTCTGGTAGTTCAGACAAATTAACAGGTAAAAAGCAGGTTAAATCCAAATCATCGCGCAAAGTTAAGGTGCACCTACACTGTACAGTGTATATTACTACCAACTTGTGTGTGTGTGTGTAAAACAGTGGCATAGGTTTGCCTCCTTCCCTCAGAGTAAATAATGAACTGGGTTGGACTTGTAACTAGACCGTTTTTAACACTCGTGGTGTGAAATGCGTATTTAATAGCTATTTCAAAGTCATCCTACAGCCACTGTGTTGCTTCACACGTGTCAGTTCAGCTCTAGGACTGTGTGAAATAAACATGTTGACCATGGACTCCATAAGCGGCTGTCATTGAAAATGACATTCGCAGACCCTATCGTTCTAGCTGTGGGTCGATCTATCTCTGAGGAGATCTCGCTAAATTGCAATTAACTTGTGCTGAAAGCAATTTAGCGAGAAACCCGAAGGAGATGGATCAATCCTGTTAAACTGATCTAGGCATGGGAACCCAGTGTTAGACTATTGTGGAATAATGGCTCGGAATAAATTACGTTTACATTACGTGCGGGTAACCATAGGTTAAAAAGTTTATCGGTTGTAAAGTGATCGTACCAAGTCGGATCAGTCTCAGAGCAGTTGCCGTGCGCCTTCCTCCGTCTTCCCTGAATCTTAGACTGAGTTCCCACACATAGATCCATCCATCTGGTTCGACCTAACTCCCTGGGGAATCTCACTAAATTGCTAGCAAATAACCGGCTTATATGTCTGTCACGCCTACCGAATCACCTAGGGGTAAAGATAACTACTCCTAAACAGCTTTACTGGGCGTGACAGACATTTAAGCCGGTCAAGTTGACAACAATTAAGTGAGACTCCCCATGGAGATAAATCGATCCAAATATCTGTGGGAATGGTCCTTAAGTCTCTACGACTTAAGGCACCCATGTGGTCAGAATGAGAAAACGCGCAATTTCAAACTTTTCAAACTCGTGCCTTGTACGAAAATGCTACGGCCTACGGACTTACGATTTTCAAAATTTCTCAAAATCGTAGAAGCTACAGAGGCCTAATATGAAGAAGGGATTGGCCTCGACAATTTAAAGGAATGGTTAGATTTTTTGCCATTGTATAGTAAATTCCAATCCCAGTTACTGTAATTCTAATGCACAATTGGTTTGCGTCTTTTTGTGATTCAGCTACCATTCTTCGCACGTACTAGCCGCAAACTTTTGTACACACACTGGACAATAGAAGTGTCACCCCCTGAATCAGAGTAACCAAATTTATTAACCTGAAGAGGCGGAATATAAGCAATGTCAGAATATCGATGCAGTTGAATTATTCAGTCAGAAACGTTTCTTTTGTGAAATTGATGTTATTTAAATGATACCAGGAGTATATCATTCTACAGTCATTTATCTCCCCCAAATTATTGATTCAGTAGGGGTGACACTTCTATATTGTCCAGTGTGTGTAGTACATGTAGTAGTATAACTACTCTTTGAACACAGGATCCGCCAGCATTCTGTTATGAAATATTCAATGGCTGACCGTGTAGTTTTGTATTATATTTCAGTAATACAAAAGTGGAAGTACTTGTTAAACTAAAGAATTGCGTATAATGGAAAATTTGCATTTTTGTCTCTATGGCATCTAATAATTTAAGATACCCCACGGGTTAGTTAAATAATGTAAGCGATCTTTCTGAGGCTTGTAATCGACACTTATGTCTTCGTATAATTTATAAATGCTTCAAATATTTTCATATTTACATGTATCTAGCCAAATGCAACATGGAAGGAACGAAGTTAAATGGAGAAAGTTTGAGCGACGACCCCAAGGACTTTGACGACATTCTTGTACTGATCGGGGAGTTTGGAACATTTCAGAGATTAATTTACACTTTAGTGGCGTTAGCCTGTATGTTGCACAGTGTCATTTACGTTGCAGTTGTTTTTATAGAGGAGACCCCTGGCCACAGGTAGGATTATGATGGTATAAAATATGATGTGCTGTATAGATAAGAAAATGGTTACCTTTTTTCTATGACATACGAAAATCAAATAAACTTTGATTCAAGAAAAAAAAATAAATAAATAAAAATAAAAAAAATAATTAAATTGATTAAATAAAAAAGAAACAGAGGCAAAAGGAATGAAGTGGATATATGCTGGGCTATAAATTGTGAAACGTGTATTTATATTCGACAGGTTAACATGTTTCGAATGTCCCAAATCCATATCTCTATGCTGGATATCCTTCAAAGCTACTTTTCTGCTCCAATTCAGCCCTTAAAATGACAATTAACCTCCCTCCTGGCGATATTTTACTTTGAATCGCCAGGAATACGAATTGCCGTCTAAATAAAATATGATTAGTTTAGAATTAAGCTTATTAGTTAGAAATGACAAGATATATTGCATCTAAGTGCAGAATTAAATTTGAATTAAAATCATAACCTCGTTTTGGAGGAAAAATGAATCTGATTCCAAAGTAAACGTGAACTATCAAAGTGTTTAATTCAAGATGCAAAATCCCTGGGCTTCTGAATGATACAAACAACGTTTCTATACCGAATGAAACTGGAGTGGCGACACAGCAGTGCACATTTATACAAAATGTCAGCCACCAGGGGGACTACAGTCAAGACAAGACGGAACCGGAGCCATGCACGGAATGGGTGTTAGATACATCAACTGTAACATATTCTTACCCAGTGCAGGTACCTGCATTATTATTATTATATTTCTTTTATCATTTGCTTTCAAACAAGAAATTGAGCCCAAAGACTGACTTCAAACTTTGCGTAAAACAGTAATCTTGTCAGTACCTGGTATTTTTTTGGGGGGGGCGGTGGACTATAAAGCGTGTGACACACATGTGACAGTAACAGAATGTATTCACAGCTTAATTCTTAAAACAATAATTATCTTACACGAAAATGTATTTTTCCTTTCTAGTTTGGCCTCATTTGTACCGATTCTTTAAAACTGACTCAGTCTCACATAATGTTAATCGCCGGGTCGATCGTGGGTGCCCCAGTTTTTGGATCCATATCTGATAGGTAGGTTATCATTTATATTTATCTAACGTTATGAAAGTTCATAAAAATAAATCTTAAAATTTCAAATTTTCCTCCGATTGATTACATGTTTTCTTTACTGTGGTCAAGAAGCGGAAATGACGAGACTGGTCGATATTATGGCTGGTGATTACGGCGGAGGTGAACATTAACTTTCACAATTGCTCAGATGTAAGATTGTATTTATGCGAATTATAATGCATTTAAGTACGAAATATTGGCTTATGAGAGAGAGAGAGAGAGAGAGAGAGAGAGGTAAAGATGGATTACCTTCTTCTGTATTTCACTTCAGTTTAGGCAGACGATTTTCGTTGCTGCTTTCTCTGAGTCTTAGCAGTGTCCTGGGACTGGCGTGGGCACTGACACCCTCATACCTATGGGGCATCATAATAAGGTTTGTCTACGGGTTGACGTCAGCGACAATTAACAGTGTGGGAACTACGGCTGGTAAGTTTGAACTTCATTGGAATAATAATAATAATAATAATAATAATAATAATAATAATAATTATTATTATTATTATTATTATTAATTCCTAAAAAATCAGATTTTCCCTCCAAAACCGTGAGTAATTCACCACCTGGAACACCATTTCCATTTTTTTTAATTTCCAGAATATTCTTTCTGTGTAAAGTTTTTAGGTCCATTGTATGTCTTATAGCTCGACGACCTTATGTTTGTGATCGCCCATTTATGTGGCTGTATGACTCCAGTAAGACACTCAAAAGAAGGGTGAATTTCATTTGTGGCACAAAGTACAAAAATAGAAATATTTGATAATGGGATCGAGGATATGAATTAAATCCTTTTTCTGTCAGATTCAAAGATAAATAAATAAATAAATAAATAAGTTAATAAATAAACAGATCTGAATAAAGTGGTTTAGTTGGAAAAAATCGCTCATATTTATTTGATACTGAGTTACATACAGGAAGATAAGGCGTAATTTCTGCAAAATTATTTATCTTGTCCACTATACTTGACCTGCTGCTGTTAAAAACCATCCACATTTTCCAGGCTTAGAAATCGTAGGCCCTGAAAAGCGCATGGTGGCTGGAACTGGTTTGGCTTATGTGTATGCAGCGGGCGGGGTGGTAGTAACGGGAATGGCTTACTTCCTAAGAGACTGGCGCCATCTACAGATCACGATATCAGCGCTACTATTTCTATTGGCCTTTACTCTTTTTTGGTGCGTCAAACTTGCATTATTTGATGTATTAGTTTTATCCTTTTTTATTTGCTAAAAAATTGCAAATTTACTTGTTGAATCATACGGAGAAGCAAAACCATATCTACATGTATGGAATCTCTTTTCTATTCATCGGAGACCAGAAAAAAACAAGGTCAGGGCGTAGTATTTGTCTTGAAGAGACCGTTGTTGTGTTGGCAGATAGTCTTTTTCAGCTAATTGTATTGCCACGTCTCTCTCTCTCACACAAACACACACACACACACACACGCGCGCGCACGCACTTGCACGCAATTTCCCGATCTTTTAATATTTTCCAAGGTGCCTCCCGGAGTCGCCCAGGTGGTTACTTACCAAAGGCCGAAAGAAAATTGCTGAGAAAATATTAAGACGAACTGCAAGAATTAACGGCACCGAGTTCCCAGAAGGACTTGTAGAAAAGGTGGAAATCAAGAAACCCCCATCTACGAGTGCCAGAGCTCTATGACATGCACCAAACTTGATGATAAAGCTGCTGCTAATAATCGTTAATTGGTATGTGAAATACAAGCAGTCATCCCTACGTAGAATACATATTTAAATGGATGAGTACGTACCAATGAACACTAATAAATACTAGTACATGAATGAGTTAGTTCATATGACATAAGATATTAAGGAGAACAAAATAATGAAATGACAAATAAAATAGACAAATACATCAAGGAATGAGGCTACTGCAATGATTCCTGGTCCCAGTTTCACATAAAAACGAAAGTCAGTTCCAGTGGCTAACATTTTTGCTGGCAACATTACCTTGTCCAAGCACAGTGTTACAGCACTCAAATGGACACACCTTCTTGTCCAGGGAAGTAACTGAGGCTTTGGTTGTGAAACTGGGACCTGATGACGGTGTTTTGCAAGACACTTAAAAGGATGTAACTGTTCACTTTGGCAAAGAAATGAATTTTCCTAGGGGACATGGGAATTTTCTCATACTTACCAATGGTGAATGTATCCATTTCTACTTTCAGAGTTTGTCCCTGTTTTTTTTTCTATAAATTTTTTTTTGCAATAATCTCTTAAGAGATTTATATAATTTCTGTAATAATCGCGTATGAGACTATTACAGAGAAAAGCCATCCATCTATGGAGATCACGTGGTCCGTTGACAAGCACCTATTGCAGAATAATTACTATAACTGCTGTTTTTGTGGTAAAATAGAATAAATGAGCTATGAGTTGTTTACTATGAGTTAATGAACTATGAGTTGTTTACGATGCATTTATTGAGAAGTATAGATCTCACTCTATAGATCATCATATCCCTTAATATATTGGAATGCCAATACACTGTACCAGTAGCTTTGGGTTTGAGCTGTTGTTCGAATAATCTATCAATATTTCAGGATCGTAATCGACATGGCGTACTATGGTATCTTCCTCCATGCCGGAAACATGTCAGGGAACCTGTACCTCAACGTGCTGTTTTACTCCCTGGTGGAGTTTCCAGCGTGTGCGCTATGTTTTACCATCGATAAATTCGGACGAAAGCGGCCTTATGTTATGTGTGTGGTCATTGGCGGCCTTTCGTGTCTTTCAACTCTGCTGGTGCAATATTATGCAAGTGATGGTAAGGAAAGAGTTAAAAAGTTAAAACTTAAGATATAATACAGGTAATTGTGGAGAAGCAAGAGTGAATTTCATATAATCAATTACGTACTGATACAGTTACTTTCAGTAATCAAGGATTCATATTTTTGATTGATATTTAGCAGGTACCGGTGTACCAAACGGTCCCCTTTCTTTTATAACAAAAATTCTATTTCAGAACTAGAATCTACAAAGTACACAAAAATTGCATTATCAGTCGTGGGAAAACTGGGAGTGTCCGCCGCCTACTGTATCTTGTATATCTGGAGCATCGAAATATTCCCAACCGTCATCCGTAATTTCTGTTTGGGTGTGGGAGCCGTGTTCGCTGGCGTCGGATCAATCTTGTCTCCCATCATTGTAGTAAGTATATTATGGATTAGTTCCCAAATCTGAGGAAGATTTTTATACACATGACTGACTGGATGGCTCAAATGGTGCTCGCCTCCGGTGCAGTAGGTTGTGGGTTCAATCCCCGGCCGGGTCATACCAAAGACCATCATAAAAATGGTACCTACTGTGTCCTTGCTTAGCACTCAGCATATCAAGGTTCAAGTAGGGAATAAAGCCAGTACTGTTGAAGGACTGGTAACAGAGGGCCATGTGGAAGATAAACGCTTAACATGTTTACCCTCTTTAATTAAAGTTTAAAAAATGGTATATTCCCTGTTGATTTGAGCATCGAAATCTTTCAAACAAATGAAATCTACAAACATCATCATGTTTTTAAATGAAATTTCGATGCCTACTTGGTGATTGAGAAAACGGATGATTCACTGTGTGTGGATTAAGTTGTCAGAAGTTTGAACCCGCGTGAAAGTGTCGTTGACTGACGAGTCCCTTTCGTTTTCGTTTTCAGAGAGACCTGAAGGTAGAGAGTATAGGAAAGGACACTTTGCCACTTGTAATATTCTGAGCGATGTCTATATTTGGGGCAATATGTACCATTCCCTTGCCGGAGACGGCCAAGAGGGATTTACCAGAAACAATTGCAGATGCTGAAAAATTTCCCCTGTAAGTTTTGATAATACTGAAGATATAGATTAGAGGCTAAATTGTCAATTTCGACCGCAGGTTTCGTTTTACAATTAAACAATAAGAAGAGAGAGAGAGAAAATAAAAAGAAGAACGGAATTAAAGAAATGTTTATAATAAACATCTATTGTGAAATATTAATCGTATCCTAAAACAGTAAACTTGATTGCGTACGTGGTAAGACAGCTATGTGACTAAGTCATGTGTCATTTATATGATGAAGAGGCTTTAATGGATTGTCAAAATGCCATGGATAGAAAAAACGTGGAGTGTCTTATGAAACGATTTATTTTAAAACTTTTTTTTTGTTTTTTAGGGGATTAAAATGCACAGCTGACGATTCTGAATACCAAAAGCCACCCTTGGTCGATGAAATCACACGAGTTTGACGTAACGCTGTACGACGTACTCATACAAATAATTATTAAGTTATCTATGTGAAGAATTCCACAGCGCATGGAAGATCCGTACCTATCATAATTTTCACGATTTGCTGCCATCACGAAGTTTGTATCTTTCACACGTCATTGTTGTTTTCTGTTTTTTTTTCATACACCGTATTTGCGTTATCAATTGATTAACATTAAACCAAAGTCCTGTGTGTGTGTCCGATTGATGCCGTATCTCTTAGCCTCCGCGATTATTCATCGGTCACCCTATTCTATCAATATTGGTTTGGATTTAAATGGAACTGTTAAAATTTTCACGAAAAATTCATGTCTTGCGACCAGTCAACATCACAAAAATGACATTTAATAATGGTGTCACAGTTGGTATACAAAGTCTCAAGATTCTGTCCAATTGAATGTACAAGTCTAAACATGCAAAATACTCTCACGATACTCGGCATACAAAAGAGTCTTGCGAAGCTTGCTGTGAATACAAAGGGTTATGGCGGCGCGTCTTGTCACGTGATCAAAAGTACGGGTACTATTTCATTTGCAAGCATTACAACGGAGAGGATATATAAACGTCAAATTTTTTTCTCCAATCAGTCACAAGCCTAAGGCGAATCTTGATTTGGAAATTATAAATAAATATAATATACCCGATTCAATGTAACTGACAAGGTTTGCAATTATATTGTATATGTGCATGTATAGTAACGGCTGGATACGCAAACATGGTCATTGTCCAAGGAGGTTGGCTTAGCTATGTGGTCATTTGCCGGTGTGACAGGAATGGTAGTCCTAGGAATTGTACACCGGGATCCAATTTGATTACTGCAGGTCAGGGTTAGTGGCAGTTTTGGGGTTAAATGTGAGATAAATGTCACCTTTACAAAGTCATGTGGAACGGACTAATGTTCCTAGCGGACTGCCATTCCTGAAACTCCGGAGTCAAGCGGCAAATGTACATTGTACAGATGTACAAGTGTGTGTCCATCACGGTCGACCCCCATGCACCGATGTCCTTTTGTTGCATAATACCTAAACGGTTTCCAGAGGCGGTTGGCAAAAGTCCGGCCAAATGCACTTTGATATGACGTCACTTGTGTTATGTTTAGATATATTCGCCCTTCAAGTTTCAATACATAACATGTATTTTATTCGCGTGAAATCCATAGATCCAGCGGGAATTATGGATAATGTTTAGTGTATTTGCAATGCTCTGTTTTTTACTGGCTAGCTGTCACTGTCTCTCTATTCACACCTTTTCTTCACCGAGGAGGGAAGGGGTCGGCTAGTGGTACATCTGCTCCATCTTGAGATATCCTATACAGGGAGCGTTATCTTTGTTAAAGAGGCATATAAAGCACGCGCATATGCCAGATCATTACCGATTGTTTCTTACAATTGCAACGTACGGTGTAGGTTCTAATAAAGTTTAATAGAAGTAAAAGGATTATACTGTATGTACCAAATAGTTTTGTTACATTATTTCTCTAAAGTGGGAAACAGAACTCCGATCACACAATTTATATTAAATATTACTCTTGATATTTGTAACACTTGTGTGAGATGGTTAATAATCATCGCCACATCTAAGTCGGTTGTTTTGTAAAACAGTCAGTCTTTGGAATATACCATATATTTAAATAAACCGTTTGTCAATTGCTTAATAATTTTGTCAAAGCAAGACATATCAATTGTTTTATTTCTATTTAGGTTCTGAAGACATATATCTAGTCTTCGAAACATCTTATATATATAGGAAAGGTGTGAGATTTTCAGAAAAAGGTTTCTGATGCTTATGAAGTTGCAGCACCCTGGCGTGTCCGAGGCTTACGTTAGAAGGGTCCTCTGTTATGAGGTTGTCTCGGAAACAAAATTCACAAAAAGGGCCTTACAGTAAACGACCGAAAACTTTAAAAGTGGAAGAAGCATATGGCATTTGTATATTGACGTAGGTCTGTGTATTTCGTACATAATTGACCAGTTTCTCGATTGACCCCGATGCGGGCTGTTATTCTTTTGAATCTGAAATTATTTGATGGTCATTCTTACATGAGTCATTGACTCGTCAAACATCTAATGTCGTCAAAGGTTGATACATAATGTAGCAGAAAAGTCGGATGGAATGTGCAATGTTTAAGCAGAAATGGTCAAGTGTTTGTAATGCGAAATGTGTCGAACAAAACAAATCTAGAAGATCGAAACCTTCACACCGACTGCCCTTCATGAATTCATAAACATTTGCACAGGAAATGTTTTCCAAATAAATCCAGGTGGCAGTCGCTACGAGATAACCGCGGTTCACGCAAGCTGTGGCAATTGGAGATCCTGTGTTATAAAAAGCGCGGCAAAAGGAGTTGTTCGCCAGTTAGCGTTCTGCGCGGCATCTTTCAGAAGAACTTCTGTTGGTCCCTCCAAGCAGGAGAAAGATGACGAAGTTCTTAGTAATTTGCCTATTGGTTCAGGCCATTTGGTGAGTAAATTAAACTGATTACATTTCATAAACCCTTAGTGAAGGGATATTGTGCATTTTTAAGTTTTAAAAGTTTTCTTGCTTTTCCTTTTTTAAGAGTAATTCACTGATTCTGTTTCAAGTGCATTTTCATATATTTTTCAATTATCGATTTCTTTTACACAGGTATCAATATCTTTATTTCAATTTGCAAATTAAATCTATGTTTTTTTCAAAACGTATCTCCGTGCGATACATACCTAAAAAGATGCACAGGTTTTTAACAGCATATCGACTGAATAAATTAGCTTTGCGTATGAGAATAATAGAAAAATAATTATCGATAAAGTAAACCGAGTAAATGGATCGATAAAAACATACACTTTTCAGTCAGAAATAGAAAGGAAAGAAGACGATAGCTAAATATTATATATAGAGTACTTTTTTGTCGAAGAAATTTTCGGAAATATTGAAACACCATGAATTTTAATGGATAGCCTTTTCCTCACTCTTAAGGCATTGTAACGGAAAGAGTTTGAAACAACGGCGATCTTTGTCATTCGAGCCTGAAGGTAAGTGTGCCAAATTACATATAATCGATAAACATAAAAATTTAAAAACTTTACATAAGATATAATTAAGCAAGGAAGGGATTCAAATTGTTGAAATGTCCAGAAAAAATCTAACAGGAATCATGCACCTTGTATTTGACGAAACGATCGAGTAGAGAAAATTCATCGGTATTATACTGCTTATGACCGTGTGCTATGTGTAGTAATTATACAAAAACTCCTGTGACTTCGTCAGCATATATTTTCTTGGTTTCTAACTTCAGTCCGGCTTGTGGGTGGGTCTCACGCCGCAGAGGGACGTGTCGAGGTTCGTCAGGGAAGCGGTAACTGGGGCACTGTCTGTGATGACAGCTGGGATAGCAACGATGCCGCCGTGGTCTGCAGAATGCTTGGTTACGAGTAAGTGTAAGACATATTCTATGTTTAATTGGCGTTAAGGCATCAAAAGTGCGTGGTTCTGCGTAATTCTTGATTCCCTTACAGAGATTTCCTAGGGTCCTATAGGAAGTCCTGTAGAAAATTCATCCGAAACACTGGGTTCTATAGCACATATTCACTAGATAGAGTCCTATAGGAACTCCAGTTGAGTCAACAGAATTCCTAAATATTGACTGGTAAACCTCCGTTGATTGACAAATGAATCTGTATTTGTTTATTAAATACACTTAGCTAAAGGAACTGTTGAACGCTATCTTTTTCAACTCTCCTTCTTTCTTTATCGTTTTATTGTCATTTTAGTGCAAGCAATGCAATCGCCTACAGTCGAGCTCACTTTGGCCAAGGAAGCGGGGACATACACTTGGACAACGTCGCCTGCACGGGGACAGAGTCCTCACTTGCCAGTTGTTCCTCGAACGCCTGGGATAGCCATAACTGCGCCCACAGTGAAGACGCTGGAGTGCAGTGTCAGACCACTACGACAAATGAGGGTAAGTGTCGCTGTTAAATCAAGGTGGGATTCAGTATTATAATTTTAGAAAAGAATACGTGGAATTCATATGTTTATAGACGAAAATGAAAAAAAAATACAATATGATATAATTAAGAAATGGAACTGAAAAATAAAAAAGGAAAGGAAAAAGAAATAGGAATTTTAATTTTTATTTATTAAAATAAATAAATGTACTGCGATTGAATACAAGGTAATGCATTCCACATAGACAAGGAATCCTTATTATCATATTATTATTAGTAGTAGTAGTAATAGAAGTTTTAAGTAGAAATATGTTTAAAAAAGCTTAATGTTGATCCTTGTTATTCACGTTAAGTGTCGATCTGTTTGACTGGGGGTTCGCGGCCAGAGAAAAGGAGAGTAGAGGTCCTCTATAACGGCGTTCACGAAGAAATACATGCAGCGATTAAAATCTTACTGATTTTCAACTGCATTCCCTTATAGTTGAAGTAAGATTGGTGGGTGGTGCTCATGACGGTGAGGGAAGAGTGGAGGTCCTCCATAACGGCGAATGGGGCACTGTCTGTGATGACAGCTGGGATGACAACGATGCTGCTGTGGTCTGCAGAATGCTTGGTTACAAGTAAGTAAAACCTTTACTTCACATTCGTTTCTCTTATTAACAACGAAAACAAGATGCATAAATACAGGGAATTTCAGTAAATTTTTATTCATTACACTTTTCTTTCTAGCCCCGACGACGCCGTTTCCTTTTCACGCGCTCAATTCGGCCAAGGCACTGGATCCATTCTTATGGATAATGTCGCCTGCGGTGGAAGTGAGGCCTCTATTGAAGCTTGCGGACATAATGGTTGGAGCTCACACAACTGTGCTCACTCTGAGGATGCTGGTGTCAGTTGTGTGGCTGCAGAACCTACTACGACACCTCCAGCACTGCCTGGTGGGTTAACAGAATGCTTTAGTTAATAGCCAATTTTAAAAAATGCCCCATATTCATTTTAAATAATTCTTACCATAGACGCCACGGCACTTTATGGCCTATAAACACGGTTAAGGGGCTATTAAACAGTTACGTTCAGCATGTCAGATAAGGCAACATTATTTCGGATAAAAAAGTAAACTGCCGGGTAATAAAGCGAAACTAAACAAAATTATGTCAACATTCAAAAGCAATATTTTGGCTAATTTATTTGCCTTTTAACTCACAACGGAATTTGAAAAAATGTTACATTTTGTATAAAGCATTGTGTACATCAACAAATATTGAATACATTAAAGTCGGGTCAAATTTTATCTGCATTTCCTTGCAGTTGAAGTAAGATTGGTGGGTGGTACTCATGACGGTGAGGGAAGAGTTGAGGTCCTCCATAACGGCGAATGGGGCACTGTCTGTGATGACAGCTGGGATGACAACGATGCTGCTGTGGTCTGCAGAATGCTTGGTTACAAGTAAGTTAAATCTTAACTTCACATTTGTTTCTCTTATTAACAACGAAAACAGGATGCATAAATCCAGGGAATATCAGTTAATTTCAATTCATTACACTTTTCATTCTAGCCCGGACGACGCCCTTCCTTTTTCACGCGCTCATTTCGGCCAAGGTACTGGATCCATTCTTATGGATAACGTTGCCTGCGGTGGAAGTGAGGCCTCTATTGAAGCTTGCGGGCATAACGGTTGGAGCTCACACAACTGTGCTCACTCTGAGGATGCTGGTGTCAGTTGTGTGGCTGCAGAACCTACTACGACACCTCCAGCACTGCCTGGTGGGTTAACAGAATGCTTTAGTTAATAGCCAATTTTAAAAAATGCCCCATATTCATTTTAAATAATTCTTACCATAGACGCCACGGCACTTTATGGCCTATAAACACGGTTAAGGGGCTATTAAACAGTTACGTTCAGCATGTCAGATAAGGCAACATTATTTCGGATAAAAAAGTAAACTGCCGGGTAATAAAGCGAAACTAAACAAAATTATGTCAACATTCAAAAGCAATATTTTGGCTAATTTATTTGCCTTTTAACTCACAACGGAATTTGAAAAAATGTTACATTTTGTATAAAGCATTGTGTACATCAACAAATATTGAATACATTAAAGTCGGGTCAAATTTTATCTGCATTTCCTTGCAGTTGAAGTAAGATTGGTGGGTGGTACTCTTGACGGTGAGGGAAGAGTTGAGGTCCTCCATAACGGCGAATGGGGCACTGTCTGTGATGACAGCTGGGATGACAACGATGCCGCTGTGGTCTGCAGAATGCTTGGTTACAAGTATGTATAACCTTCAAAAATGTAACACTTGCTAAAGATTTTAACAAATAGCAATACATGATAAATAAAATAAAAACATTTAATATTAACTTCATGCCATCTTGATGTCACCCTTTTAAAATTTCAGTCCCGACGACGCAGTTTCCTTTTCTCGCGCTCATTTCGGCCAAGGTACCGGTTCAATCCTTATGGATAATGTCGCCTGTGATGGAAGTGAGGCCTCTATCGAAGCTTGCGGACATAACGGTTGGAGCTCACACAACTGTGCTCACTCTGAGGATGCTGGTGTTAGATGCTTTGTTCCAGAACCCACTACACCGGCTCCAACAACTCCTGCCCTACCTGGTATGTATACACAATAGTTCATTAAATGTTCTTTTTCTAACATTTGTCCGCTGTATGTTGGCTGCTTGTGTATTTTCTTTAAACTACATGTGTTAGTAACGAGTTGGTCAGACTATAAAGTATACTGGTATTTAATATGTGTATAGGTTACTTTGAAGCTATGGAGAGCTTTTTAATGAAACACAACGTGTTTTTAGGGCTCAATAAACCTATTTTTATTATTGTGTATTTAGTTTTTCAAAATATATTTGGATATAAATAGATATTGTAAACATAATGCTTTAAACATGCAACATTGCTGTACGTATGTAAGGCGCCAATACACATATACAAGCAAAACACCTTCCTAAACTGACAGTAAACTACATGTCCTTGCAGTTGAAGTAAGATTGGTGGGTGGTGCTCATGACGCTGAGGGAAGAGTTGAGGTCCTCCATAACGGCGAATGGGGCACTGTCTGTGATGACAGCTGGGATGACAACGACGCCGCTGTAGTCTGCAGAATGCTTGGCTATAAGTAAATATACGATTTATTTTTAACATCACCATATTTTCTCTGTTACTCTTACAGCACACAATGTGATATTGAACAACTTCTAATAATGACAACAAATCTGCAAGTTCGTTGTGTCATTTTCTTCCAATAGTAAAAACAACTGCGTTCAAAATTAAAAATTTCAGCCCAGACGACGCCGTGTCCTTTTTCCGCGCTCATTTTGGCCAAGGCACTGGATCCATTCTTATGGATAACGTCGCCTGCGGTGGAAGTGAGGCCTCTATTGAAGCTTGCGGACATAACGGCTGGAGCTCACACAACTGTGCTCACTCTGAGGATGCTGGTGTCAGTTGTGTAGCTGCAGAACCTACTACGACACCTCCTGCACTGCCTGGTGGGTTAACAGATTATTCTGTTCTGTAACCAAAATGAAAACCAAATATTTAAATAATTCTTACTATAGACGTCACGGTACTAAAATGACCAATAAGCACTGTTTAGGGACTCTCTACGCTTTTGTTGAGCATGTAAGATAACGCAAGATAATTACAAAAAAAATTCAAGTAAATTGTGAAACTAAGCAAATTGTGTCAACATATAAAAATATATTTCAACGTAATTGTTTACACCCAGAATGCATAAAAAATGTTACATTTTGAATAAAGCTGCGTGGAAACAAATAAATAGTGATTTTATTGAATGCTTGATGATTTATAACCACATTTCGTTGCAGTTGAGGTAAGATTGGTGGGTGGTGATCGTGACGGTGAGGGAAGAGTTGAGGTCCTCCATAACGGCGAATGGGGCACTGTCTGTGATGACAGCTGGGATGACAACGACGCCGCTGTTGTCTGCAGAATGCTTGGCTATAAGTACGTATATATTCTTTTAAACAGCAGTATTGTTTCTTAAGAATTACCTCGGCATATGACATAATACTGGGTAATTTCCAATAATAATATTAACGGATTTGTCGTCATTGGTTATGAACATTTCAGTCCCGACGACGCCGTGTCCTTTTCCCGCGCTCATTTCGGCCAAGGTACCGGTTCAATCCTTATGGATAATGTCGCCTGTGATGGAAGTGAGGCCTCTATCGAAGCTTGTGGACATAACGGTTGGAGCTCACACAACTGTGCTCACTCTGAGGATGCTGGTGTGAGATGCTTTGTTCCAGAACCCACTACACCGGCCCCAACAACTCCTGCCCTACCTGGTAAATATACACAATAGTTCATTAAATGTTCTCTTTCTAACATTTGTTCATCCGCTGTATATTGTCTGCTTGTATTTTCTAAATTTAAATTACGTTTGGGTAAAGAGTTGACCAGTCTATAAAGTGTACTTAAAATTTGCATAGGTTACTTCATAGCTGGAGAGCTTATTAATAAAGCTGAACGTGTATTTAGGTCTCAATAAATCTATAATTATTTTTGAGTATTTAGTTGTTCAAAATATATTTCGAAGTGGAAATCGTAAAATGCTGCGAGTGTGAAAACAATGTTTCCGACATACAAAATTGCTGTACCTGTATTTCACGCGATAAAACAAGCAACCAACCTGACCATACTGACAGTAAACTACATGTCCTTGCAGTTGAAGTAAGATTGGTGGGTGGTGCTCATGACGGTGAGGGAAGAGTTGAGGTCTTCCATAACGGCGAATGGGGCACTGTCTGTGATGACAGCTGGGATGACAACGACGCCGCTGTAGTCTGCAGAATGCTTGGTTATAAGTAAATATACGATTTATTTTGAACATCACCATATTTTCTCTGTTACTCATACAGAACACAATGTGATATTGAACAACTTCTAATAATGACAACAAATCTGCAAGTTCGTTGTGTCATTTTGGGGAATTATTCCAATAGTAAAAACAACTGCGTTCAAAATTAAAAATTTCAGCCCAGACGACGCCGTGTCCTTTTCCCGCGCTCATTTTGGCCAAGGCACTGGATCCATTCTTATGGATAACGTCGCCTGCGGTGGAAGTGAGGCCTCTATTGAAGCTTGCGGACATAACGGCTGGAGCTCACACAACTGTGCTCACTCTGAGGATGCTGGTGTCAGTTGTGTAGCTGCGGAACCTACTACGACACCTCCTGCACTGCCTGGTGGGTTAACAGATTATTCTGTTCTGTAACCAATTTGAAAACCAAATATTTAGATAATTCTTACTATAGAAGTCACGGTACTACAATAAGCACTGTTTAGGGACTCTCTACGGTTTTGTTGAGCATGTAAGATGACGCAAGATAATTACAAAAAAATTCAAGTAAATTGTGAAACTAAGCAAATTGTGTCAACATTAAAACATATTTCAACGTGATTTTTTACACCCAGAATGGATAAAAAATGTTCCACTTTGAATAAAGCTGCGTGCAAACAAATAAAAAGTGATTTTATTGAATGCTTGATGATTTATAACCACATTTCGTTGCAGTTGAGGTAAGATTGGTGGGTGGTGATCGTGACGGTGAGGGAAGAGTTGAGGTTCTCCATAACGGCGAATGGGGCACTGTCTGTGATGACAGCTGGGATGACAACGATGCCGCTGTTGTCTGCAGAATGCTTGGCTATAAGTACGTATATATTCTTTTAAACAGCAGTATCGTTTCTTAAGAACTACCTCGGCATATGACATAATACTGGGTAATTTCAAATAATAATAATAATGGATTTGGCATCATTGGTTATGATCATTTCAGTCCCGACGACGCCGTGTCCTTTTCCCGCGCTCATTTCGGCCAAGGTACCGGTTCAATCCTTATGGATAATGTCGCCTGTGATGGAAGTGAGGCCTCTATCGAAGCTTGCGGACATAACGGTTGGAGCTCACACAACTGTGCTCACTCTGAGGATGCTGGTGTCAGATGCTTTGTTCCAGAACCCACTACACCGGCCCCAACAACTCCTGCCCTACCTGGTAAATATACACAATAGTTCATTAAATGTTCTCTTTTAATACTTGTTCATCTGCTGTATATTGACTGCTTGTATTTTTTAAATTTAAACTACATGTTTGGGTAAAGAGTTTGTCAGACTATAAAGTGTACTTAAAATTTGCATAGGTTACTTCATAGCTGGAGAGCTTATTAATAAAGCTGAACGTGTATTTAGGTCTCAATAAACCTATAATTATTTTTGAGTATTTACAAGGTAGTTGTTCAAAATATATTTCGAATTGGAAATCGTAAAATGCTGCGAGTGTGAAAACAATGTCCGACATACAGAATTGCTGAACCTGTATGTAACGCGATAAAACAAGCAACCAACCTGACTATACTGACAGTAAACTACACGCTCTTGCAGTTGAAGTACGATTGATGGGCGGTGAACTTGACGGTGAGGGAAGAGTTGAGGTTCTTCATAATGGCGAATGGGGCACTGTCTGTGATGACAGCTGGGATGTCAACGATGCCGCAGTTGTCTGCAGAATGCTTGGTTACGAGTAAGTGCTGGGTCGTTTTCTTTTGTACGAAATTTTGGTCGTTACTAAAACATGTGATCAGTATCAATGAAGAACTTGTACTGTACGATGACATAGTAAACTAATTTAATAGCCATCTCTGTCATTGTCTTGGTGTGCAAATCATTTGTAGGTCAAAAATGAATGAGTAAACATAAGTTTATTTAATTTTCTTTAATACACCAGTGGATTAAGCATGCAACATAACACGTTCCAGAACGTCCGTCTAACGATTTTGTTACATATTGGAAGAAAGGGAAGAAATAAAATAGAAGAAAAAGGGCAATTGGTAATTTATCGAATTTAATCAACGATTAAAATAATTATTCGAATTTTTAAATATAATTAATTTAATAATGTGATAACAATATCCTATAAAGCAGAATTCGTTTGTCGAACATTTCTGTTACCGTTTCAGTCCCGCTGATGCAGTTGCATTTAGCAATGCTGAATACGGTCAAGGGAATGGGTCAATCCATATGGATAACGTTAACTGCGATGGAAGTGAAGCTTCTATCGAAGACTGCGCTCACAACGGTTGGAGATCACATAACTGTGGACACCACGAAGATGCCAGTGTCAGATGCTACTTTGTAGAGCCAACAACACCAGCGCCAAGTATGATAAACCCATCGTTATGGATTTGAATTGATAATTGTATTATAAATATAATTGTATTATAAATATAATTGTGTGGAATTTAAGACAGAATTGAATTGCCGCCTTTTTTCCAACTGTGAATCGCGTGCTTTCTCAGTTCCTTTTTCGTTTCTCGAATTTGAAATAATTTTTGCTTCTTAACTTTAAATTGCCCAAGGGATCACATAATAGAAATACATTAATTTCATATTGATTGATAAGATGTTGGTGGTGCCCCATTTAGTAACTATTATTAATAAGTGAGCACATAACCCTGTCAGGCAGTTCATTTCTCGTTTCTAGTTTTAATGAATATACAGTATACAGCAGCAATCAAATGAACACGCTAGACTTACGATGCATATTGAAACATATTGATCAAATCTACATTTTAGTTGTTGTCCGATTGGTCGGAGGTGCCCATGAGGGTCAAGGTCGAGTTGAAGTACGCCAGGGTGACGGCGAGTGGGGCACTGTCTGTGATGACAGCTGGGATGACAACGATGCCGCTGTCGTCTGCAGAATGCTTGGTTACATGTGAGAATTCCATGAGTTTTAAAGCTTCAATCTAGTGTTGTTCTGTAGCTAATGTTGATGGCCTGTAGCACTTAAATTTTATGTCATTTAACAAGAAAAAAATCAGCCAAAGGTAATTGCATGTTTTAAAGTATAGTTTAGTCAGGTCTTCGACATTTGACTTATCACAATTGCTATTGTAGCGACGACGACGCCACTGCATTCAGCAGAGCTACGTTTGGCCAAGGCACCGGTTCCATTTACATGGACGACGTAGCTTGTGCTGGCAGTGAAGGTTCTCTGGAAGAATGTTCTCACAGAGGTTGGGGACAGCATAATTGTGTTCACTCGGAAGATGCCGGTGTCAGTTGTGTAGCCGAGGAACCTGAGACTACACCGATGCCAACACCGTCAACAACTGCTGCGGTACCTGGTAAGTAAAACTTTTAGACACACGATGAAAAATATGTCTTAATATAGAAAAAAAACTTCCATTCATTATTCAGAAAGGTTTATACTCAAACTGAAATTAATTACAGAATTGCAATACAAATATCTGTTCAGGAGACCCGAGTTTGTCGTCTTTGAATCCCTGTTGCAGTACCAGAACACCCAAATATGAAACCAGGTGAAATTAACTCATATATATACTCCACATAATCGTACAATCCAACCTAATCAGCTGCAAATAAGCGTTATTATTTTAAAATCAGTTTCAGTTCGACTTGTCGATGGTCACCACGAACGAGAGGGACGCATTGAAGTGCAGCGAGGAGGTAGTGGCTGGCACAGCGTTTGTGACGATGGATTCGGTGACGAAGAGGCAGCAGTTCTTTGCAGAGTGATGGGCTATGGGTACGTGTTTTTAACTAATAACTAATATGAATAATGGTGCAAAAATAAATCGTGTCTGTAGAGACATTTTGTGTTTTTTAACATGTGGGGGTATGAAAATTTGACACCTTAAGGCCAAACTTAGGGTGCTTTCACAGAGATTTAGATCGCTCTAGAGATTAAGATTTAGACCAGACGCTTAAGCCGGACAAGCTGACAGTAATCTAGTGAGACATAATATTTTATTAATATAAAAATGAGTTATCATCATAACCTGCGTTTTCCCCATTTTTGTTTATGGCTTCATGTATTGGGAGTTGTATTTGAAGTTATTTGACCATGTATAATCGATATTGAACAATCGAGTACCAGTTAGCCAAGTGTAAGATAAAGACAGTACAACTAATATTACGGTTACGTATCGAATTAGCTACACTGGTGCCGTGGGACTTCAACGCTCCTATTTTGGCAAAGGCAACGTCTCCGTCGCTCCATATAAATTCCACTGCAATGGTCTGGAGAATTCGCCTCTTGAATGTGTTAGAGAAGTTCTGGATGGGGAGGCCGATTGCGACCGCTACCACACTGCAGGCGTGAAGTGTATGGTTGCATCAGGACCGTATGAAGGTGCGATGCATTTTACCTGTGATACATACATTAATTGATGAAGTTCTTGATTTAAGTACCCATCTTGTACAACGTAAGCTGAGTCTTTTACTTAAGCTTTCTATCGTTACTTAGAATGCGCAAATCGTTATTACTGCATGTGCAACAATTATAGAGGGTTTTATATTATAAGCATGCCCTTCTTTGTCTTTACAGTGCGCCTGGTTAAAGATGGCGTTGAAAACAGTGAAGAGGGCCGCTTGGAAGTGAGAAACAGAGAGGACGGACATTGGGGAACTATCTGTAGTGACGGCTTCGATGAACGCAGCGCTGCAGTGGCCTGCAGGATGCTCGGACACAGGTACTCTGATGACAGGGGTAACGAAGCTGAGGCTCCGTGTAACAGAGAGTCCGCCCTCCATTTACTTATAATGGTTAGGGTTAACCGGATCTAAGTGGGTCAGAATCTAGGGTGAATGAACTGTTTTTGTAGTACTAAATTCACTACATGGGACATGTACCCAGTGCAGATGTACATTCGGATATTTAATTCATGCATACATGGGTATAGTTATTAAATATATTACTGGACACTGAATTAAATCTTAATAGACGTTTTGAATGTTTTTGCCGTTTGTTAACTTGAAGATAAGTTGACTAGGCTTTGATAATGTACCAGTACCTGAAATTATATCCCCAGCTGATGAGAGTTCCTTTGAATCGTATCAATTGTTTTTACAGCGGAGAAACGGCCTCTGTGATGGTTGGCGATGGCATCACTCCAGGTAGTGGCGCCATCTTCCTTGATGACGTATCCTGCCGCGGTGACGAGCTTTCTCTGGATCAGTGCTACAGCCGCCCATGGACCGTTCACAACTGCCGCCACGAACAAGATGCCGGAGTGAGATGTATACCTTTTGAAGGTAGGGGGTGGGGTCCAACGTTTGTGTATTTTATTGTTAGTAAAAAAACGAAAGAAAAAAATATTTTCCGTTTTCGACAAAAACACAAATAAATCAATTATTGATAACACCAACCGTACAACATACATATATTGTGGATTTAAAAGCCAACCATTCATTTTAAATTAAGAAAACCGGGCATTTACATTTATATTTTTCATCCCATTAAAGTGACCAGATTTCCATACATGTTTTATTCGAAACTGTTTGCAGTTTTGCTAGATAAATAGCCCGTATAATTTGTACAATCAACAAAATAAAGTGTCATGTAGGGCTTACATATAGTGGTATATGTTTTTATAAAGTATATCGGCGGAATTAACAACGGTGTTTCCACCGGGGGGTAGGGAGGCAGCACGAGACCACACGAGGGCAATTCATATACCCCCTTCTTCCTCGTAAAAAAGCGACCAGTAACATGTAAACGTGTACCTTTCCTGTACCTTTCATGCTGTGTCAGAACATAATTTGGTCAAAAAAGCAAATGCTCTTGATCCGCTAGTGTATGTAGTGTATGTATCAATACCCATTATTACCACTTTGTATTTATTTCTGTTTCAAACCATTGATATTATTTATTTTTGATAATACCTGTTATTGTTGCAGACGACCCATGTGAGGCTTTGAGCTGCGGTGAGCACGAGGAGTGCGTCTTGGGCGATTTTGGCGCCACCTGTGAATGCGTCGAGGGTTACCTAAGTATTAACGGCTCTGCTTGCGTAGGTGCGTATACATATAATACCAGTAATTGGTGCCAATGTTAAGGAAGAGATGATTTGTATTTAAGGTGTCGTTATTTTTTTTTTCAAATGTGATTTGGACTCATCTTTCAAATAGACG